ACTTCCACAACTCGCTGCCATCGAGTGGATCCGGGCCATATGCACAACAGCAGGAAACTGCCCCCATCATAGGCCGTCCTCACAATGGTTCCTCTGCCTGAGCCCACTGTTGCCGCCAGAGTGTCCATCCATCTCCTTGAGGGCCTTCCTCTGTCACTGCACCTCCACTTTACCAAGCACGAAGTCCTTCTCCAGGGACTTGCCAACAAAAGTGGCTTCATGTCAACAGGGAGGAGTTAAAGACAGAGGCAGTCCCAGGGACACGAGCATCTGACTCAGCGAGTGCAACCACCCGTGGTTATAAACGAGCCCTCATAGGCTTCTCACTGCCATCACAGGGACCCCACAGGACACAGGAGAACTGCCCCTGTGAGTTCCCGAGAGGGCACATCTTTACAGGGGCAGATAGCCTCATCCTCCTCCCACAGAGCCACCAGTGGTTTCGAACTGCTGAACTTAAACGGTTGGCAGCCCAACTTATAACCATGAACCAGGGCTTGCTATATTAAAATTCAAAGCATATACCATGGTTCATAAGAATATAAAGGCACCATACTTTGCGATGCACATCAAAGCATTATTATTCCTGGCTTATTATGCTACCGATGTCTTAGTGTATGTTATCTGGAGTTGTTTCTGCCCCAACTGCTAAGGCAATGAAAAAAAGAACTCTGGTGAGAACACGCGATGAACAAAAGACTGAGACCTAGCTTGGTAAACACCTTAACCTTGAAGCCAGGCCCTAGTGAATATCCGGACACAGGACCATTCCTGGAGAGAAATCCGAAAAACCGCTGACCCAGAGCTGGAGTCCAGATCAAATTAAGAGGCTCAAGGACCAACTGAGGAACTCATTAGAAAGTTGCTGGGCCATCTGCCAAGCAGCAACTCCCTCCCCTTTGAAAGTGCCTTTTAAAAAACAAAAGTACTCTCCCAGACAAAGCCCCTTCTCAACTCAAGAGGGGGACTGGATTCATCCGCGGAGCGAAGTATATGTTTAAGGTGTCCTTCCCACCTTGCAAGCAGGACCCACTTCTTCGTTTCTTTTGATGGGATCCTGTGCTTTAATAAACCTGTGGCTGAATTCTTTGCTGCTGCTGCCATATGGGGGTGAAGGTGGGGGCCAGGCTTATCTCTGGACCCTTACAATGGACACAGGTTTGGAACTTGCTAGTTCCCCCGAGGAGGACAACACAGGGATGGGACATCACAGTTTCTTTCATCGTTTTTCACACATATATAATGCCATCAAATTGATTCTGGTTCACACTGACCCTATAGGCTTTCTGAGGCTATAGATCTTTATGGGGGCATATAGCCCAAGCAGCCACTGGTGGATTTGAACCACAGAACATGCAGTGCACAGTCCAATGCTTACCGCCGCACCCCACCAGAGCTCCTATTCATAGATGGGCACACTATAAATGATACACCAAGACAAACATTTGACGAACTCATGTTAGGTCGGCGTTGTACCTAACTGTTCCGATTTATGCACAAACTTGACTTAAAGACGGGCTTAGGAACAGAATTCATATGTACATCAAGGGCTACCTGTACTTCCAGAAGTACAAAGAGACACCACCTAAGACTGTCCTTTTAAAAACACAAAACAAAACAAAAAGCCATGAAATAGACCCAAGCAATTGCTAGGAACTTTTGTGATATACACTCTTGTTTCTTGGTTGCACTTTGGGCTACCAACTGCCAGGTCAGCCAGCAGTTCCAATCACCAGCCGCTCGCTCTCAGTGACACGGACAAGGCTTGCCACTCACATCAAAGAGTTGGGGTCTCGGAAACCCACAGGGGCACCTGCGCACTGTCCTGTGGGCCTCTGAGGGGTCAGAATGCACTCCTTGGCAGTGACTTTGCTTTGGTGTGGGCCCCATCCTGGCATCCACACTCTTAAAGAGAACAACAATCATATAAAAGCATCCTGAACCAAGCACGTGGGCACTCGTTCTGAAAACGACACACTGGTTCCCCCATATCCTCCTCCATATAAAACGATGCAGTAATGCCTGTCGACAATGGAGCTACTGGGGTTTGAGAAGTTCCAGGTGAGTCGGCAACCAAGTTCGGCCCACAAGGCCACACAGGGTACAGGAGGAGAGGGGTGGTTCTCACCACTGGCGTTTCATTCAGGAACGTCCGTAAGTCTTTCACATTGCTGCCCACCAGCGCCCGGGCACCTCGGATCCGGGTGCGGAGATGGTGGTTGGCCAGGAAGCCATAGGCGATGCCGATGCTGCAGGGAAAGGCCACGGGAAGAAAAGACATTCAGTGTGCGGTCCGAGGTTGCCCGGTGAGCACCGCAGAGCAGGAGAGAGGAAGGGCCGCCTCAGCAGGCGCCCCACAGGACGCTGAGCTCACCACTAGCTCTGCCCCCCAGCCCACAGCCATCGAGTGCAGTCAGATCCACACTGACCCTTGAGGAGAGAGCGGAACTGCCCATCTGGGTTTCCCAGGCTGTGAATCTGTACAGGAGCAGACAGCCTCGCCTTTCGCCCTCAGAGAAGCTGGTGGGTTTGAACTGCTGATCCTACGGTTAGCAACCCATGGCTGAGCCCTCTCTGTCCCCAGAGCTCCTTCCTGCTATGGCTGCCGTCCCACAAAAGTCCCACAGTCAACCTGCCACCAACAGGCAGCCCCACGTATGAGCCAGTCCTCTCAGAGAGCAACCGCGAAGGCTGTGTCCCCGAGAGGTGCAAACAAGTTAACACATTTGGCTCAAAGCAAAAGGTTGGGGGTGCATGACCTCCCAGAAGTGCCTCAGAAGAAGGGCCTGGCCACCTGCTTCCCCCCAAAATCAGCCACGGTGGACCCGGGGGAGCAGGACCCTACTCTGAGACACGTGGGGCAGCCACGTGGGTCAGAATCAACTGCACAGCGTCGGGTTGCTCTGGTGAATGTGAACCTAATGAACAGACAAAGGCGGCGGTTGTCCAAAAACTCACCAGCATCGAGTCCATGCGTTTTACCGTGACCCTCCAGGGCAGGGGAGAACTGGCCCCGTGAGTTCCCACGACTGCCACTGTTTACAAGAGTAGAAAGCCCTGTCTTTCTCCCTCAGAGCAGCCGGTGCTCTCGAACTGCTCCCTTGCAGATCGCAGCCCAAAGCGTAACCACGACGACCACAGGGCTGCCATCAAGTCAGATGCAACTCGTAGCGAGCCCGTATGGAACAGAACCGAACCACCACTCGGTCCTGCTGCAGCCTCACAGTTGTCCTTGTTTGAGCCCCTTCTTGCAGTGACTGGGTCGGTCCCTCCCACTGAGAGTCTTCCCGCCCCGCCCCCCACCCTTCTACTTCGCCACGGTGTCCTTCTCCATCCTTGCCTCGAAGGAGCATGGTGGCTGCACTTCTCCCAAGACAGAGCGGTCCGTCCCTTTAGCAGTCCAGTCTTCTCCAGCAACACAATTCAAATGCATCGATTTTCCTTAGGTCGTCCTCATTCAATGCCCATTTTCCACGGGTATAGGAGGCCATTGAAATTCCATGGCTTGGAATTTCAGACACATCTTTGTCTTCACAACATGGTCCTTACTTTTCAACACGTTCAAGAGGTCTTGCGCAGCAGATCCGCCCAATGCAAGGCAGCTTCTGGTCTCTTGACCGCTGCTTCCATGAGCCTTGCGTGGGGATCCAAGCAAGACAAAAACCTCGATCTTTTCTCCGTTTTGCCATGATGTGGGGTAATGGTCCAGGTGTGAAGGTTTGGGTCTTCTGGACACTGAGTTGTACTCCGTATTGAAGGCTCCAATCCTCGAGCCTCATCAGTGATTTGAACGGACAAGAGTTGCGAGAAATTGTGGATGAAAGAGAAGCTGCAAAGGTTGTCAGGCAGCGTGTGCGGCACAGTGTCACTCCTGAGCCAATGCAAATGCGTGTACCCACCCTGTGTAGTCTCCAAGCTCCCCCCAAGCAGACTCCTCTGTGCCTGCAAACGAGGCTACAAGGAAATTTACCAAAAGGATCACCATGGTGTGCACCGTCCCACGTTGCCGGTTCCCCGTATTGTCTTGCTTGTTTCTGTTATTGTCCAGGTTAGACAGAAGCATAAGTGGCTTTAGCGTTAGAATGCTGGATGTGACACCACACCCAGACAAGTGCTCATTGTCATCGGCTCCTGGACAAAAAGTACAAAATCGGGCAGCATGATGGTCGGTGGTTATGTTAGGGACAGAGTTTAGAGCTGGGAGGGAAGGAGCCTGATATTGGCAAATTGTACAGAAAAACAACCCCCCAGACGCTAAGGGGTAACATCTAGAAATTGACCAGCCAGACAACACCAAAGTAGGGACTCGTGGGTTCAGGTGAGAACAGCACTACTGTAAGAGAGAACCCCAGGAGGCAGACAGCGCCCTCAGACGCTGCCTCTGTCGAGTGTATTAAAACTTCCCAGTACCTCTGCACTTCTGTTTTCAACAAACTTTCCTGTGCTTTGCTGCCCAAACAAACAAACAAATCTGTCTTAGAAGAAGTAAGGCCTTCAGCTCACTTGCTTTGGCCATGTTGTCAGGAGAGAGCCTTCCCTGGAGAAGGACATCCTGTTCTATAAAGTGGACAGGCAGCAAACGGGAGGAAGACCTTGCCCAAGATGGCCTGAAGCAGTGGTTTTCACAACGGGCTCGGGCACAGGAACCACTGTGAGGATGGCGCTGGACCAGGCAGTGTTCCGTTCGGTTGTGCAGGAGATCGCTACATGACGGAAGCAACCAGACAGCACCGAAGAACAACAGCAACAACATACTTCCCCACAGGCTGTGTCTCTGGGTCCAACTCTTTCTCACAGGAAGAGTAGGAACGGAGGAGTAGACCCCACTGGGTCACTTGGGGGAGGAGGGGCGGGTGCTGGGATGTTCTGTTCTTTGGTGAGCATCATCTCCATGAGACAATTCACACAGAGCTAACTGATGGGAGGGACATCCTCCCAGGTCGAACCTACTTTCATACAAAAGGTTTCTCCGTTTTCTTTTTAAAAGGTTTCTTGGCACTTCATCCACATACCATACAATTCAGTAGTCCAGTCGTATCAAGAAGAGTTGTACAATCGTGACCACAATCAGTTTTAGGACATTTTCTCCTTTCTTTGACTCATGGTTATTAGCTCCCTCTTCCCCCTGCCCCTGCCCACAGTGCCCCCCAGGAAACCATTAACCCAGTTACTGCCTCTCCAGATTCAGCCATCCCAGATTTCATATATTCCAAAAAATTACCAAAAGGGAGAAAAATAGCCACCTTAACAAAATAAAACAGAGAAAATCATCTAAAACGAAGGAGAAACTATTAACACGTAGAACAACTTTTAAAGGATCAAAAGGAACATCAAAATGATAAGATGGTAAATTTTATCCTAACTGCTATAATCAATCCACGTTCCAAAGGACTTGGCACGACAGCCAGGCTATTCACATCCCTGGTCTGTGGTCAGACAGGATTAATCAACATGTATTTCCCCACACACGCACACACCCCCTTTTTATATACTGAAACAACTTTTAAATGGGTCAAAAGGAGACCAAATAAGATATTACATTTTAAGTTAGCTCTATGGCAGAGTAGTTATGAGCTGGGCTGTGGTCAACAGGGTTGAAACCACCAGCAGCTCCCTGGGAGAAAGACTGGCCTTCCTAAAATCCCAGAGACAGTTACAGACTTATAAACCCACAGGGGGTTACTGTGAGTCAGCGCTGATTCTCACGGCAGTGAATTTGGTCTGTTGGGTTTATATCTACCATAATCATCTTTACAATGTTCTCTGATAATAAGGCTATTCCCATCCGTTGACTGTGGTCAGAGGAGATTCATCAGAAGTTTAATCTATGCGTGAACCCTGCAAATGGATTTTGGGATTCCACTGTCATCCATAGCCTTCTGCAAACTGGATGTTCACAGTTTAAGCTCTGATAACCATTGCCTATGTCATTCACAATCCTTGGATCACACAGGCTGATGTGCTTCTTCCATGTGGACTTAGTTGATGAGAAGCCAGAGAAAAGGTTTTAAAGGTATCTTCCATGCAAGACTACTGGGCAGGACAAGTTGTTGAAAAGTCTATATGTAAGCCATCGAAAATGCCTGTATTTAATTAATAATGCTAAGGAGCTCTTCATATCAACTCACCACTGGCTTAAATTAACTTGACCAGTTGTTCTGCCTTTTCGTGGCAATGCCTGACAATATCAAAATGTTCAATTTCCTATTCCTGGCCAAGGTCCGCATCATGGCCACTAGAGGGCAGCAAAGAATTGCAGAAACCCAAGGCATATGAACTCCAACAAGACTGTGAGGAAGGAGCAGGACTTGGCAGTCCGGCCAGTGCGTGGGAGCTGACTCAAAGTCTCAACTAACCAGATGGCATCCACAACAAGAAACAAGAAGCGCACTGAATACTTTACCAACCCCAGGTAGTAAGCATCCAAAGGAAAGATATGGATGTGATTTTAAAACAAAGTTCTACACATGATAGGCAACCTGGGGTAAAAAAAATCGACGTGGAAAAACAACCCTTTTTATAATGCAGGGTTTGTGGTCCACAGTGGGTGCTCAGTGGAGGCAGGAGGCAGCCTAGGCTGTGGTTTCACTGGCTCCATCTAGATCCCAGATGATGGGCCAAGTGTCTGGGGTACCTACACAGGAAACTGCCCTGTGCTTTGTTCATCAATGCCTCTCCACAAATTGCATCGAGATGATCAGTCAGGGAAGGGAACGTCAACGCAACACTGAATTTCAAGGCAGCTCATAGACGATCAACTTGTCTGCTAGCCAATCACCCATCCAATTCAATTGGAAACACCGATCCCTGGAGCGAGATGTCAGTCATGCTCACAGTTGACTTCCAGACCCACCACATGTTGAAAATGTCACACTCGATTCAAAGGCAGAAGACTCAAACCTCTAGGTGGGGGAGGCAGGAAGCCCCCGGTAGTGAGTGTGTGAGGCAAAGGATTCTGGGAAGCCAAGAGAACTGCTCAGCTGTTCTTGCCAAGGGGCCGCCCTGACGGAATGCCCAATCCCGCCGAGCTTCTGATGAGAGTCCTGGAACTTTGGCAGTCTGACTCCTATAGGAAATCTCCAAATTTTTAAAATATAGCTACCAACTTAAAATTTAAAAACCCACCTACTGTGGAGGAGCCATTGTTTTTCTCCATTCAAGATCTCATTTAGATCTCTGGAGCCCTGGTGGCTTGGCGGGCTGTGCATTGAGCTGCCGACCACAAGGTCGGCAGTTCGAACTCCACCAG